GCCCTTTGAGCCACCCTTCTCGAAACGCTTGCCGTAGCCCTCCTGCTCACCCCAGCTCTCGGCGCTGGTCTGCGAGTAGGCGTGGGACTCGTAGCAACCCTTGGGGTGGCAGATGTAGGCACAGCGACCGGCTTTGCAGCCGTAGCCGTCGAAGCCGTCCTTGTGGCAGGTCTCCTCGTAGCAGCCCTCGAAGTAGACATCACCCTTGAAGGCGGCCTTTCCGGCGAAGTGACCGGAGGAACCGTAGTGGGCCGAGGCGAGAGCGAAGAGGGCACAGAGAACGACGAACTTCATGTCTGCGCGGCGGTGAAGCTGTTTGAGTTGGCTTCGCCTCGACAGCACTTTTATAGTCCTGATAATCGGGCGATCGATGACATTGTCGATATTTCGAGCATTTGGTGGAGTAACTTCGCAGTTGCACTTTTGTGGGACCGGATCGATATTTTATACAGTCTGTTCAGAAGTTCTGTAGTGTGCGTAAAAATGACAATTCACTTTACTATTTTGCATGTTTTGATTTTTAAGGTTCAATGAGACCACACTAATTTCTAGTACAGGTCATTTGTGTTGTGTTATGCCTGCATAATTTCCTTACTGCCGCACACGCTAGACAGAGGTCCCCGTCGCCCCAGTCATAGTGTCCAATCTCCTTACCATCCAACCGAAATACTTCCTAGGACAAATGCTGCATGAGAAGAAGGAAGGAGACGACAAATCGGTAAAACTCGGAGCAGACGTTTAGGGTCGTCAGCTTACATAACCAGCCCATTTTGGTAATACCACGGGCCGTTAGCAGTGGTGGCTTGTGGGGTTTCCAACTGACGTGTTAACTCGCCCCTAATGAAGACTGAGAGACCGACTGCGACAACTCTCTCAGAACACGACCTTTACATCACTCTCACCTATGTGAGATCCTCCACGCCCTCACTGAATGTGTGAGGTTAGGGAGCATGCGTATGGCACACGTAGATGAATCGGCCCACTTCGACATCTCAGGTCAGCTTGGTCTCGTTTTGTCAAATGAGGATGAAATGCTTGATGAGGATGGGAAGAGTTACGGGCGCCACAAGTTCTTTTCTCAATAAACGAAAATACGCGCAATGACCTGGCTGTATCATCCTCGTCGATATCAACCGAATTTTAGTGAGTATTGTTTCATATTCTGCATTCTTAAGGTCCTAGAGCAAATCTCCTCACGAATCCCAGCGATTTAAGGGAAGCCACCCTGGTGTATAATATCATGACTTGCCTTTAACTTTTTCTGTATTAGAGTTGTGAAAAACCCCATAGCTATATTCAGATGAAAAGGTGGCGAGTGAACGTTGCTTTCGATAACTTCTCGTCAGGCCAGTACAGTTATATGGGACAGGGTCTAGACAATACACGAACTTCGCTAGTTTCATACCCCTCCAACAAAAACGAAATCTAATAAGGTGTTTGGCACAAAGGACTAGAAAAATTTGTTCAGCAGAA